GAATGCTGGTTAGTAATGACGAAGCCCCCAGGGTTGTTTACCTAAAATCATTGGGCAGTCATTATAGAGGATTAACATTCGAAGGACAAATTAATGAAGAATTGAAAACCATTACTTTTGATACGGGTGCTGAAGTTTCTATAATTAGAAGAACATTAATCAAGTCTCGGGCAATCCAACCGCTCACTAGAAACCTGTCACTACGAACAGTCACCGGAGAATCTGCACCAGTTCAAGGAGAAGCTATGGTTGAGCTCACTTTTGGATCTACCATCTTCAGGCACAGAACATTAGTCGCCGATATAGAAGACGATTTTATTTTGGGAATGGATTTGATCGGCCAACATGGTTTCTCCTTTGATCCTTCCATGAACATCCTTAAATTTGGTAATGAAGAAATTGTCCTAACAACACAAGAAGAATCCGAAGCCGTTAAGATCTTGGCCACAACCCCAGTGAGGATTCCTGGAAGTACTGAGAAGATCATTTGCGGAAGATTAGAAACCAACCCTGGGTGCTGCGTTGGACTAACACGTAATTTCATTGGAGATAAACCAGAAAGGTTTCTTGTTGGAAAGACTCTAGTAAGAACAAATGGAGACATTATGATAACAATTGCCAATGTTTCTTCCGAAACAGTAAGGATAAAAGAAGGAGACATTGTGGGAGCTCTCGAACCAGTGAAGCAAATATCGAACTGTGACCTACCAGATAAGCGACGCTTTGTGAAATCGAAATTGGATACAGACACCTTGATGCAGACTTTGGCGAAATCATGGAAACATCTTGATCCAGATAGACTTCAAGAAGCCACAGATTTCATTTTGAAAGAAGCAGACGTATTTGTGATGGACAATCAAACCGGACGAACCAGTTTAATTCAACACAAAATTGATACTGGATTGGCACACCCAATTAGACAACCACCACGACGTATGCCAGTAGCTAAGCAACAGGAAGTGGAAAACCAAATTGATAAAATGCTTCAAGAGGGAGTCATTGAAGAGTCAAATAGTCCATGGTCCGCGCCAGTAGTACTGGTTACGAAGAAAGATGGGAGTCTTAGATTTTGCGTGGACTACCGAAAGCTCAATGACGTCACCAAGAAGGACAGCTTCCCTCTCCCAAGAATAGGCGATACACTAACAACTCTATAGGGCTCCAAATGGTTTTTCACCTTGGATCTCAAAAGTGGATACTGGCAAGTGGCAATACATGACGATGACAAAGAGAAAACTGCCTTCAGTACCGGAAGCGGACTATACCAGTTTAATGTAATGCCTTTCGGATTGTGTAATGCTCCAGCTACGTTTGAGCGACTGATGCATCTTGTTTTGCGAGGCCTTACATGGAGAACTTGCCTGGTAATTTGGATGATGTCATGATTATGGAAAATTCGTTCCAAGAACATCTCAATAACCTGAAAGAAGTTTTTGACCGCTTCCGGAATGCCAACTTAAAACTCAATCCAAATAAGTGTTTCCTATTTCAAAAGAAAGTGGACTTCTTAGGTCACGTGGTATCTGAGGAGGGCATACAAGTTATGTAAGGAAAAATAGATGCTGTCAGGGACTGGCCAAAACCACGCGACAAACATGAACTAAGGAGTTTTCTAGGATTATGTTCTTATTATCGAAGATTTGTGGAAGGATTCGCCAATATAGCTGCTCCACTTCATCGATTAACAGAAGAAAAATCAACATTCAATTGGACCCAAGAATGCGATTCCGCATTTAGAAAATTGAAAGGAGCATTATGTACGAGCCCAGTGTTGTCCTATCCTGATCACAAAGGCATGTTGATTTTGGACACAGATGCAAGTAACACCAGTATTGGAGCTGTCCTTTCACAAATCCAAAGTTCACAAGAACATGTCGTGGAGTACTACAGCAGAACATTATCAAAGCCGGAACGAAATTATTGTGTCACCAGAAGAGAGTTGCTGGCCATAGTAAAAGCAGTCGACCATTTTCATAAGTATCTCTACGGACGCAAGTTTCTAATTCGAACAGATCACGCAGCTCTAAAATGGCTTTTAGAAATGAAAACTCCTGAAGGACAGCTTGCTAGATGGATTGAAAAATTGCAGCAATACGATTTCCAAATTAAACATCGACCTGGAAACCTGCATAAAAATGCTGACGCTCTGTCTAGACGGCCATGTAAAGAAGATTGCAAACATTGTCAAAGAATCGATATACATGAGAAAAACACTAGTCTAGCTGTAAGAAGAACGGGCCTGATCGTCGATGACAAATGGACTACCAAGCAAATGAGAGAAGATCAGGAGGCAGACCAGGACATCGGGCAAATTCTACATCTTAAAGAAAATGGTGAATGTAGGCCAGAATGGGGGGAAGTGTCAAACAAAAGCTTGATTTACAAGGCGTTGTGGGCCCAGTGGAACTCTCTGCCCGTAGAAAATGGTTTGCTCAAAAGAGTTTGGGAAAGTGCCGATGGGAAATCCACTAAGAGCCAACTGGTTATCCCAAAAGACAGAGTGGAAGATGTATTAAAAGAAATACACGACGGAACCTCAGGGGCACATTTCGGAGTTAACAAGACTTTGGACAAAATTCGGGAACGTTTTTACTGGGTTCACTACCATGAAGACGTTAAAAGCTGGTGCCGAAAATGCGACATCTGTGCTACCAGTAAAGGCTCTAAACTAAGATCTCGGGGGCCCATGAAACAGTACAACGTTGGTCTTCCATTTGAGAGAATAGCGATAGATGTAGCAGGACCGTTCCCAGAGTCAGAGCGTGGTAACAAATACATCTTAGTTATCATGGATTACTTCAGTAAATGGCCAGAAGTTTTCGCTATTCCCAATCAAGAAGCCATCACTGTTGCCCAGGTGCTAGTGGACGAAGTTTTTAGTCGTCATGGTGTGCCACTAGAGTTACATTCAGACCAGGGACGAAACTTCGAATCTGCCATCTTTAAGAAAGTTTGTGAGATCATGGGCATTCGTAAGACAAGGACAACACCTTTACACCCTCAGTCTGATGGCATGGTGGAACGATTCAATAAGACCATAGAGGAACACCTGACAAAAGTGGTCGCAAAGAACCAACGAGATTGGGACAAGCATTTGCCTCTCTTTTTAATGGCTTACAGAGCGGCTGTTCACGATTCAACAGGTGAAAGTCCGGCTAGAATTGTTTTTGGAAGGGAACTCAGGTTACCTTGCGATCTGATGTTTGGAGTACCTACCCGAAGAAGAACGAAGAGAAATCCGAGATTATGCCGACGAAGTAAGGGCACGACTTCTGGGTATCCATGATTTTGCTCGGGAGCATATTCAACTAGCCAGTGACCGAATGAAGACCAGATACGACTTGAAGGCCAATTCGGTCGGATTTCAAGAAGGTGATTTAGTGTGGTTGTATAACCCAGTAAGGAAGAAAGGAGTATCACCGAAATTGTCTTCAGCATGGGAAGGACCCTATAGAGTAATCAAGAGGATCAATGATTTGGTTTATCGAGTCCAGCGCAACACCAGGAGTAAGATGAAAGTTGTACATCTGGACAGGTTGGCGAAATATCATGGGCGTGAAGTTGATCGGGACGATCAACCTTAAGGGGAGGGCAGTGTCACAATAAGCTAAACGTCCGCCAGGCTGTCAAGAATCGATCGCGGAAATACTAGAATCTAGCGAATTATTCTACTTTAATCTGGAAAATTAGATTATCGTGTGTATTCTAGATTTCACAGGAATAGATTTAGGGATATATAAGAAGGCCGGCATTGGTTTGTAAGTTAGTTTCAGTTCGAGTGTGATACGATTTAAATAGTGATTGTAAAGAGTTTAATTGTTGAGTTTGTTAATAAAGTAATTAGTGTCAGAGTGTTTTGTTAAGTGGAATAAATTATTGCTGTGTTAATTGGACTTTGATTTTTGGAATAAACGAAACGAACAACGAACCCAAGATTTTTGTCAGCAGGCAACCCAAAGCCGCGACAATAGGATTGAGTTGAATTATCTGAAGCTTGACCAATGGTTTTGGCTCTCACCATTATGAAACAGATATATTGTGGATTACCAGAATGGGGACCAATGTGTGGTTACCGTTGGGTTACCGCTGTTTGCACTAATTGCATCTCACTTTCCAATAGTAAGTCCATAAATATAATTTCGTCAAATAAATACAAACTGTTTTGGTTGCCAAAAAGCAGATTACTTTTTTAGATTATTTTTTTTTCAGGTGAAAATACTTTTTTATAGAGGAGAGAAAATAGAAAAATATACTCTGTTATGCCCTCCAAGCAGAATTTTTTGCTAGAGGAAATGCTCATCCGCCACCGAACATACACAACGCCATTTCTTGAGCACTATTTCAATAAATTGGATTCCTTTTTCATCGATGCTTATAATGCAAGTCTCGAGTAATGGTGATTATTTTAATGAACTAATGATACTGTTTGGTGCTCGAAATTTCCCTAAGATTAGACGACTATATCCGTCAAAGCATTGTTAATAGACATTTTGGGCTTAATGTAAAGCCTTATGTAATTCGAACCGGAACAAATCAACAGTAAAATGACAATTCAAGGGCCCACAAACTAGCTGATAAGTATGGTTTAGTATTCATTTAAACGCTCAAACACCATTCTCTTTACTTCACTAACTGAATTTATTTTTGAATAAAGCAAAATAATCATACATGGAATTCGGAAAATTGTGAAACGATATTGGTACGAAGGTATGTCTTACGATGATTTGCAACATTATCTGGACCACTTTGTTGAAATATTAGGCTCCTTCTTTCTGGCACTGATTTCACTGCGAAACTTTTAGGATTTTGAATTACTCAATTGCTGATATCTGAATCTGAAACATGATAAAGATTCTCAGGCAGAAATTTTTACTATACAGAAATACTTGCCTATTCCTTTAGCATCTGCATAAAGTTTTCAAGCACATTTTTTTTCTCATATTAGCAATTTGTCTTATTTTAGGAAAATATAAGTATTTATTTATTTTTTTCTATTCTAGGTGAAAGGCCGGCAGCAATGCAAACGGGTTCAGCAAGACTCTCGAAAAGTTCTCTCAATATTGTTGCACTTCTAATTATCTCTTACGTTTATCAAATGTGCACCTACAGCCAGTGCCCGATTCTTAGTGCTAGCAGGTAGCTATTCTGCCTCTTTTTTAATTTGAATCTGTAAATATTTTTTTAAATTATAATGTGAAGACTATCCCATAGACAGAATTTTAAAAGGGTGTTAAATTGATGAATCAAGTAGATACAAGAAAAAAAAATACACACTCACACTATTCCACAGATAAGTATAAAACAAGGGCGATTTTAAGGCCGTCTGGGTTGTGAAATGGGGTTATCAAACAATGTTAAGGATGCAGATATTTTTTTATAATTAAACTGGCTGAATATTCCTTAACTTCGTTCGGTCATTATTTTGGATTTGATGAAGAAAATTGGAAAGGTCACATACAAACACGTCAATGTATCTATTGGGAAAAACAACTATTTATGTAAAAATGAAATCGAGTATTACAGCTTTTTTTTGATACCCTATATTTTACATTAAAAAGATACAAATCGTTTATATGCAGCTCAGGATTTTTTTATAAGGGGCAAAGAGAAAATAGGTAATATTATTCTCTCACTCTTACTAAAACATCTCTGGCATCACATCTAAAATTAATATTTTTTTGAGTTTGAAGTAGAATAAATACTAAACTGTTTTGATCTAAGAATATGGTTATATGAACCAAAAATTTGTATTGAAAAAAGGGAGATTTTTCGAAAACTCAAATGAACATTACTTTGCAATGAGACCTTGAAATTAAAAAAATATATATATTTAAGGTTGATAAAACGAAATCCAGCCCTAAAATACTTTACCAATATTAGGGATTTTTGAGGGGGTGGTTTTATAGAGTAGGTAGTTAAAAGAAGCGACTAAATTTTAATGGTAATAGTTGCCTTTCTCAACGATGTTGCCATTTCCAATTCATTCTAAATTCGAGAAAATCGTAGAGGTTAGAGGTTTCGCCTTGCAAAACTTCAAAAATTTAAAAGCAAAAGAATTTGCTGAAGGAAATAATAAATAATCAGGATAGCAGAGAAAAAAAATTTATTTACTCTCCGGAGCCAAACATAGAAAATATTTTCTGGAATCGTGTAACTTATATTTTCTCACCTTTTTGAGCCTAAAAAAATATTGTTTGAACACCCCATGAAAAAAAAAAATTGCCCAAAACCCTTCCCCAATTAAAGTTTTTGTAATTTATTTTATAAGTTCCGCAATTATTGTACATAGGAACATATTTTAAATAATGAGAATGTTAATATAAATTGAAATTATTAGGCTGATTGCAGAGGTTCAATACATCGTACTCAACAAAACTGAAATATTTCACAATAAAACTAACCTTTTGGGTCAAAATCGAATTGTAACGAAAAATTTGTAAAAAAAAATATTGTTATAAATTATTGTAAACGCTGTAAAAACTTTTAGGCAGTAGCTAATATTTTCGACTTAAGAAAATATTTTTTTTATATTTTTGAAAACTGACCTGATGCGATGTGACTTTTGGAAAGGGTGACTTTAGCAAATAGATAGGTGATAGAGATATGAAAAAAAGACAAAAACTAATGACTCATAGGAAATAATTTTGTGAATATAATGTTCCTATCAGTTTATCATAAAAAGTTTACAAAATTGAAATCTTAAATCACATTAGAGAATAAGTTTCCATAACTTTTTGTACTTTGAAAACTAAAAAGCTCACCAAAGCTACACTCCGAATTTAACTAAGTACCTATATATATTTGCTAATTAGAAACTTTTTATGGTAATCTTTTATGACAGGATTTATTAGATTTTTTAAAATAATATAATTAATGTGGTAATAAATAGCATAAAACTAATTGATAAACAATCAACGAAGCTTGATTTTAAAGTGGAAAAGAGAAAATGCGTTTCGATGTAGAATTGAGAAGAATGTAGGTATCTTTATGCAGCCCTTCTTGTACAGTTATTGAAGATGGCTAATCGATGTAAATATAGTTGTTACTTTGCTTGTTCAGTGCCTGTTAAACATTAAATTTGTTTTTAATCTATGATTCAAGTTTCAATTTTTTAAAAATATATATATATATGTCAGTCTTATATTTTGGCACTGTACGTATTTCGTACAAGTAGTATACAAGGTACCTGATTTCAAAATTTAAAAAAAAGTAAAACATTTTGAATTTGAATTTTGTCACAGCAATAGTTACCAAAAAGATCAACCTTTGTGTTTTTTATGAAAAATGAAAGACATAATAATTATGAAGAAGAACATACAAAAAAAAAAATGGAAAATTAGGTACTTTTACCTTCATTGGTAACTATTGCATAAATATTTCATTATTTGGTCCAGGTTTCAATTTTTTAGCATTACAGTATGAAAGTTTGAAATAAATGTTAATGGTAACATTATAATTTTTAACCCTAATGAAATCACGCTACTATATGTAAGGAATATTAACTGTCGAAATTAAATAAAAAAAAAACTTATAGATGTGTGTATTCATGCAAAGTTTTCGTTTTCATTACGACATACATACTTGTTAATTATACGTCTAATAAATGTTTTAAAAATGTAATTATATAAGATCAGAAGTTTAAAAATATCTTAAAAAAATGTGTAGTACCTATATGTAATTTACCAACCCAAAAAAAAATGTAAGAGTTTAATAAATACACAAATAATTTTAAAAAAATAACTGTGTTTTGGAGACTTTTATTACATTCGAAATAGCGCTAGGAAAGAAGAGGATGAGCCCTACAGGAACTTATTGCTCCATGATATTTGGTACACTTATTTACTCTTATGATGTCATCGACCACAAAAAAAAGTTGCGAGTTTCAGCGGCCTAAAATAAGAAATAATTTTGGTATTCAGGGTCGATTTTATATCCCTTGATTATATCTATATACATATAAAAATCAATGTTTGTTTGTTTCTTTGTGCCTTATGCGCTCCTACACCACTTATCCGATTACGATGAAACTTTGGTAGGTTGTTATGGCCATCCCAAGGAAGGTTTGTGGCATCTCGGAAAAAGAAATTAATTTTGAATTAATTATTAATTTAATTATAAACAATTTCATTCACATAACATAACCCAACTTTTTTTTGACAACATGAAACAACGTTGCCACACTTCATTTATTTTGGCTTGCGCATTCAACCGACGTGACTTTATTATTTTTTGAATTCGAGAACGGCTGGACCGATCTTGAATTTAATACCACGTATCTCTATATAAGCCGAATTCGATTGACCTAGATTAGATCGATTTGGGTTCAATTTAAGTGAACTCCTTCTGATCTAGATCATTTTTTTGTTGATGAGAGTGCACTGATCCAACCTCAATCGAACACAGTGTGGTTCACTTAAATTGAACCAGATCGATCTAATCCGGTCAATCGAATTCGGCTATAGAGGGGAGTGATATAGGCTATTTTTTATGCGCGAAACTCGTCGAGTACCTACGTGTATCACTGCTCCATTCATTCTTGTAGCTTTAAGGTTGAGCTACCTTCTATTGTCGAGTACCTACGTGTATCACTGCTCCATTCATTCTTGTAGCTTTAAGGTTGAGCTACCTTCTATTGGAAGACGATAATGACTGCTTTATTGTGATTAACACTTAGTCCCTTTTAGTTGCATAACAACAATGTCGGCAAGTAGTGATTTCCACTTCAAAGTTCCTGTTAAAGTAGTGCGTAGTAGCCGGCAATGAGTCTCTGGGAGACTTGCATTATTAATTATTTTTTCTTGACGACAATTGCAGGGATATTTCGTCGAGTACCTACGTGTATCACTGCTCCATTCATTCTTGTAGCTTTAAGGTTGAGCTACCTTCTATTGGTGAAGACGATAATGACTGCTTTATTGTGATTAACACTTAGTCCCTTTTAGTTGCATCATTTTTGAATGGCGAACAACGCATTTTGATGGTTGTTACTAGGACATCCCATACCCTTCCCAATGCTGAAATGGTATTGTCGTAAAATTATAGGTAAGTACTTGGTTTTTGTTGTGCTGATATTTTTCAGTATACTCCAACTGTCTGTGTTTCTTTTACCTCCAAGATCAGGGGCGGATTTCCTATGAAGCAGAAGAAGCAGTCGCTTCCAGCGCCAAATTTTAGGGGCGCCAAAAATTATTTCGTAATTCATTCCGAAGGTAATATAAATATACAGGTTAATCCATACGTTTTACCTAGGTGATAACTTCGGAACGCATCATTGATGGCCGGTATTATAAAACACTGAACCGATGGTTGAGTTTCAACCTTCGGTTGACTCCATGCAAATTGATAGGATTCAACAGAAGGTTGAAACTCAATCATCGGTTCAGTGTTTTATAATACCGGCCCTTAATGTAATTGAAATTTCAAGGATCTGGGGTAACTTTTTGTGCCACTTTTAGGGCCGGTTTCTCAATAGCAAGTCACCCCCGGGTTAAGCATAACTCGAGGGTAAACATAGCAATTGGACACGCTTACCCTCGAGTTAAAACCAACCCGGAGATGACTCGCTATTGAGAAACCGGCCCTTACATGTGTCATTCAATTTCACCATTTTCGCTTCAGTTTCAGTGAAGTGACAGCAAGTTTAGAATCTTAAATGTCACTTATGGTACCTATATTTTTCGTTACAGAATTAGATTTACAAAATCGGCAATGCCATATTTGTTAAGGCTTTGTTAAAGAAAATTATAAAAAATTACAAAGTGGCGCTCCAAAGTTATTAGCTGGGTAAAACCTCCTGGGACACCCTGTACATTTCGACAATTTGCTGAACGTTTACTTACTCGTTTTTTGTAGTTTTTTGTTTTTCGATAAGAAAAGTCTTTTTTTTAATACATGAAATCAGTCAAACACGGTTAGTTTCGGTAAGTTTCCCAAAAAATTTCGCCGTTGGAACTATTTTATTCATCTTCCTTTGCAAGGACGGTGGGGCGCCGAAAATTGTTCTGCTTCTAGCGCCAAATATCCTAAATTCGCCTCTGTCCCAGATTAGTATTAATATATGCGTACAAATTCTTTGCGAGAGTAATTTTTTTACCATACTATCTTATTCCGTACTGTTGATTGTCCTTTCTTATTGCATTTCTTTGTTTTCTGTTTTATTTGAACTTATGGTGCGTTTACACATGCATGGATTTAGTGGCGCCAATAAAAACTGGCGCGCCAGTAAATTTTATGAGCAAGTGTAAACATGGACTTGCATACACATTTTATATTTGCATGCATAGTCCAAAAAAGTCTGCATCCTTCTGAAATCACTGACGCCAGTGGTGACAAATTCGTACAGAAAATCAAAATTTGCAAGTGTAAACAAGTGCTTTTACGTCGGCGTCCGCTCGCCAGTTTTTCGTTTGATTTTTATTTCGGTTGTTGCGAGTTCTCCTAGAAGTTTTGCAGAAGCAGCCAAAGTGGGTCGACGACCAATCCATGGTTCAACCCAGAAACGGCTATTTCGTTGGTTGCGTTTCATTTTCTGTATTTCTTTTATCTATTATTTTTTTACTAAAAGTTTAGCGAATATTTTACAGGCTTCGGAAAGTTCACTCGACATAGTGCACACTGAGAAAAGCACTTTAAAAGTGAAACTGGCGTGCCACTTATTTCTGTTTTTCACACAAAAGTGTAAACCTTTACTGGCGTGCAAATAGAACTGGCGCGACCACTGGCGCCACTAAATCCATGCATGTGTAAACTCACCTTTAGGTACGGTTGTTATTTCCATTGTCTGCTATGTCTTTCGCGATTTCTTCATAGCAACAATGACGTTTTGGTGTCCTTCCAATTTTTCTGTATTTCCCTAAAGCTTCAAATGCTGCACTGTGAATACGTTCTTTGCTGGTAATGCATTTCATGGCTTCGGAAGCTCTGTAATTTTTGGTCGAATCTTTTCATGTAGTAGGTACCCTTTAGGCTTTATTCTTCTATAGATTTTGGCTTAGACTCAATCTTCTCTTCTTGTTCTTCCTTTCCGTTTTCTCTTGCGATGTTTTCTCTCAGGTTTTCAGAAGGTAGTTGTCACTACCACAGGTTGCTCCCCTATATGCTCTCACATCCTGGAATTTTATGTCTAACTTCTATGCATCTTTTATACTTACGGGCTCCCAGATGCCGCTATGGTGTTGTGATATGGTTGATGTGACCTGTAAATGAAGAATTTTGACGTTTTGAGCAGATTCAATGGAGGACCACCAGTACTTATGAAGAATTTCGATATGGCTCTATCCAGGCGTTCATGGATAATGGATATAATCCAAAGTGTTTTCGATGATCTGTTAGCTTGTGTTTGTTTTACCAATATAAAAAAATTGTGGTACTAGGACCTTGTAAAAGAGTCAAAATACCTATGAATTCATTTTCCCAGGATTCTTGGATCAAGAGTTAACGATTTTCTTGAGGAAGTTTTGTGAAATTATTATAAATTAGCAGGACGAGTTAATTGGTTATAGTTCAACAGCTTGAGATTTGTCAGATTTCAATAAACAAACTCAGTAATAATCTGATGTGAAACACTTATTGGCTCTGAATAAGTTGATACTTTTCATGAACTGAAAACCATATTGCTGTAGTAACCAACTCTAGCTTTATGTAAAGCTACAACTCAGCTGCATTGTGACGTGACCTATCATGGATTGATATTCTAGAGTTTTAATGCAAATGGATGATTTGAAATATTATACGATTTTTTTTATCCTTAGAAGTGGAGCTGCGTCTAAGAACCAATTTGTATTTTCTGAGAAAAGATATATTTTATTATTTTTTTTCCAGGGCGCTAATATTGGGCTAATATTCCGATTATTGACTATTGTGACTCCAATTAAAATGATAACAAAATTATTAAAAGCTCGATTTAAGATTATAATAATTATTGTTTATCGACTTGTTTTCGTATATCTATATCATTGTGATGATTTTTTTAGTGGACTTAGCTAGTAAATATTTCTCTGGCCCTTTTTTTTTCCCATCCAGATGAATTGTGAAACAATAAAAGCTCGAGCTAATTATTGATCAATAAGCCTACTTGACCATAACGAGTTAATTAACTCAATGTTTTCACATGGCAACATATCCCTTTGTGCTACCTACGTCGTTTTCTAATTTAAAAACACATCCTTAAATAAAAATAAAACATCCTATTAAAAAAGGCACTTGTAGTGGAAAAAAAACTCCCGTTTTGATAATCCACATAGCTCCGGTATTTTTAATTAATCCGGATAGAGCATGCCTTGTAACTCTCTCTCTCGCAACAGATAGAAACTCTTGTTTGTAATAACAAAGCATCCAAATAATGTTGATTTTTGAATAAGTTCTACTAAATATTTGGTGGTTCGGAAAATTCCTTTCCCTTTGCCAAATAACTTTTAGTTCAGTGAGTCATTGATCGTGCTTTTAAAACAATGGATAATGAAGCAGGTTGATTTAAATTATTTTATACTTCATTAAGACCATATTGTTTCCACTAAGTACCAAAATTAACAAGGTCTTGACGCAGAAATGTATCCTTCGTAAAATCATTGAAAGAAATTTCATAGGCTAATGAAATAATCGTGTAAAGTACTTATACATTTGAGCTGTGTTGAATAGAATTGCCCGGACACCCGCCTAAAGGGAAAAAGTAAAGATTATTCCTGATTGCGGATGACTTTTTGGAAAGTTACCTACCTATCCCAGATCTGGGATGGAATCTATTTACATTTTTGCGGCAAAATCTAGTTTTTTTTTTTGCAAATCTCCCAATAAATTTCGCTTTTTATTGAATTGAATTTTTTCCACTCGTTTGCCTTCCTGAGCAACCATCTTAG